AATGTTGTCTACGATGCTGGCAACTTGCCATTTGCCTTCAACGATTATGAATCTACTGATATTAGCAACAATGTATTGCACAATAGTTTAATGGCAAGATAGCAGCATCAAAATTAGTTTCCGTTATCGGCAATATGATGGCATTGTATAATCCTATAGATTATTAAGACAACATGACGGTAATAGCATAAATTTTGATGATGAAAATTTTAAAGTTGTTGGCAAGTTGCTTCATAAAGCTGTCATATCGTGAAGGCATCAATTTACCCATAAATGCTGACTTAGTTGTTGCAATTCTGATAGAAACGTACACTTAGTTATTTGCGAGCAACATGCCAACATCAAGATAGATGTTGTTATCTGGGAATATCTACGACAAAAAAAAGTGATGTCACAAACAGTCATAATGATTAAATCATCTAAATTTCTTCAACTCCCCCATTGTCGACTGTAGGACGTAGCTAAAGAAATTTCGTGCGACACCCTGTAGAAGAATTATCGCATTACATTGTGACTATAGAGCTTCGAAAGCCTTAATCCGCCATTGCTCGTGCACACATACACACGTGAGCGCACAAGAACGTGTACGCTGCACTGGCACAAAACGATCGGAATTGCGAGGTACGGTGCGGATCACTGAACTCGACATACCACACGTGTGTACTCTCTAATCAAGGTAAACTCAATTAACGGGATTGATTAATAAGCAACAACGGTGTATAAGATTATATGATTTATTTTGTAACAAACTTGCACAATTATTGATAACATATATTTCGTGAGAGCAAGTGTGTAAATATATAATATATATATTTCGCTGTTATTTTTCGTAAAATATATATATATATTTTTATATTATAATATATGCACAAATAAATCTATATACTTGTACATTTTTAGATATATATATATTTATTTATTTTTTTATACGTGGGCGCGCATTCTGCGTGTGCGTGTAAGTCACATAGTAAAAAAAAAATCAGTCTTACAATCAGTCTTACACCGCTAATTGTTAAAAGTGTCATTGTCCGCCTATGACTATTTACAAATTGTATGAATAAATGAACAAGGAGTAAGATCAAAATGTCACGAGTGAGATAATAGAGTTTCACGTATTAATAATGAACTCGTATTTTACGCAACATGGTGATGGCTGATAATAAACGGTATAAAATCAACACTAATAATTAACGCGCCGCGTTCACATCGTAAAGATTAATCAACTAATGAAGGCACGTACTGAGGCAAAAAACCTCACGTTGCATGTATCATATTTAAAAGACACGCTTATACAGGCGCGTTGGTGCTTCGAAATGCGCTCTGCAGACACACACACGTGGATTAAAATAGATATACCGATTATATAAAATGTGCTCTCGCATCAACGCTGCACGATATACTCTGATAAACTAATCGGCTTTTTAAAACAATGTACTCGTATCCGTACATACGAATGGATACGTGTGTATATTTCCTTAATTAATTATCCTACACCTTCCTCATCTATAAGTTATCCCAGTTTGACAAACAGACATTTTGGAAAAGAGAGTACAATGTACAAACATATTGTTAAATGAGCCAAAGAAAGAGATCAAACGTATCGGGATAAAAAGGAAAAGCAAAAGAAAGATTGACGGTTAATGAAAATTCTTTTACGTGAAAAATTGTCAAAATAGGATATCTTGCGTATACTTCTTACATCGCTCGACGAATATTTAATTAGTGCACGTTATACTCTCGATTGAGTAAAATTTATTAAAGCCTAACAATAACGTATCTTACTTGCTAGTTGTACTATTGTACTTACAGTGCACTCTGTGGTATAAAAAATCATAATGCATAGCGATAACAATGACTAAAATAAAGTAATATACGCACTCTTAAATAAAACATTTATTTAATTAAAATATAGTAGGGCTTCAAGTTGCCTTACGTAATACATTAACGGTGGTAATTTAACTTCAGAGATCTTTGCATTGTTTGGATTTATTCTCTAAAAAATGCATTTGATCACATAGCGGGCAGGTACTGCATTCTCTTGCATTGTTTCGCATACATTCAGTAAATATCTTCTCTATAAAAATTCTATTGCGGTAAATATGGAATGACTTATATATCGAGGTAGAAATGCTCAAGGTAACTTTGGTCTGCGTAAAGAGGCAAAGCATCGACAAAAAATTATTAAGCGTTGACCTTTCTGATCTATTTTTTATGCCCATTTAGCACATTTGAATGCAACTGTATATTTTACAATGCGTTTTTAATTAAACGTAATTTGTTTATCCATCTTCTCTTCTACATATAAATTACAAACATACGTTTCGAGATAAAAGTAAATAAATTAAATCACGAAATTTAAAAAATGTTGAAACTAATACAAAGTTAGCGTGTTTTAAAAATAGAAATATATGTTATATATGTTAAAACATACAAGGTTGGGCAACGAGCCAGATGTAAATACATAAAACAATTTAATAATATTACATTACACATAAACGTTTCGACTCCGATCGAGTTATTTTCAACGTTAGGAAACAAATTTGAAATTACAAAATAATAACGTCGGAATATATAAAGAATAGTTAAAATTACTGGTAAAGAAATTTTTCCTCCATAAGTGATGTCAAAACTGCATAACCAAATTAGTCCAGATATAAAAAGTTCATCTTTGTATTATCATGTTTATAAACAGTCAAATTAAAGTTAATATCAAGTCTGTGATGCTTATTATATAAAACATATACTTCTAAATACCTTGTTATATAATGTAGGTCCAATTATAAAAAATTTCTTTATATGTATAAAAAAAAATCCGTCAGGTCACATTGTTATTAAAAAATTGAAGTAATAATGCAGACAACGCTATGAGAGACTTTGATTTTATCTTTATGGTTAGATATTCAGACGTTTTTATTTGTTAAGGTCTATATATTCCGACGTTATTATTTTGTAATTTCAAATTTGTTTCCTAACATTGAAAATGACTCGATCGGAGTCGAAACGTTTGTGTGTAATGTAATATTATTAAATTGTTTTATGTATTTACATCTGGCTCATTGCCCAACCTTGTATGTTTATTCGAATCGAGCTATTGTATTTCTTTTATATGTTATGTTATCATGTATGCAAAATGCTAAACAATTGTAAATTAATAATTGGAGTGTTTATATTTCGTGTTTCGAAGATCACTGTAAAAGTAAATATACATTTTTGCATTCTTTAATATTTTCCGTATTGCAGATATAATACAGAAAATTTGTATCTTTATTTAATTGCAAATTGAAACTTTCTCGATACTTTGTCTCAATTAGGTTTGAGTATTTCAATCGGTTAGGTTATACGTATCGGTGATATACGTTGATATTTCAAGTCTGTGTTTTATCAGTCTTACGTTAATGAACACGTAGTTTACATGAGGTATTCCGTTATTATCATTACTATTGATATGTTTGAGCAATATTGCAATCGTATCCCGGAGCTGTGGTCAGTAACGATCAAATACAACGAAGTACTTACGAATGCTAACAAATTAACAGCGATATTTATTAAATAATACAATACAAAATAATACAAAGTTTATAATAAAATGATAAATCAGCACATATGCAAGTAACCTATTATCCGGAAAGTGTTAATGGTTCCATGCTTGCACTTATTACTGGCACGTTATAGAATATCTCCCATCATTTTTGTTTCATTTACGTTGATACAATAGTGAGGGGAGAAAAGGACACTTTATACGTAGCGTAATAGTAGAGATTCCATTTATGAATCTTGTATTATTTCGCTGTCAATTTGTTAAAGCTTTAATGCTATTACGGTAGACAAATATCCGCACAAATGAATATGTCGCAAGCAAAAAAAAAATCTCCAAATGTTGCGCGGTATAGTACCATTATAAAATGTGTTCGTCTTATCTAACCTTAGAAATATTTTTGAGTAAAGTTTCAAAATATTTGTATGTATATATTTTTTTTTTAAATTTCATATCTTCTCATACACATTCTTTTTTATCGTCATTGTTCGCGTTGAAAACGATTATTACCTCGCGACACGTTCTTTTGTGCAATTGTTTTATTAAACCGTAATTTGCGTTAAATTTTAAAGTATTTTGAATGAATATACCTTAGGCTAGTTCTAAACTATACGCAAATCGCGAATCACGAACAACGATCAATAAATTTGCAATAATTAACAGCTTTATCATTACTTTAGTAATTTAATTTTTTAAGATAATCATAATGATTATTTATATATAGATCTTATTTTCGTATAAATTTAAACAGGAATAAATACATTTACGTTCGTCTACCATATCAAAATGTATATCCAAAGAATTACAGATATACATACAAAACGATCCGGCAAAATGTTGCGCTAGTTGTTCACCAACACATTCGAGAAGAATATTGCAGCAAATTGATGTCAATTATGTCCGCGTTAATTTCGTATTTTGCGTACCGACATGATTTGATTGCCAGTAGAAATCGAGCAGAATTTGTCATTTCGTTAAATTCATAAAAATAGAATATATCATTTATATGATTACAGAATGGAAGATATTGCTTGGTTTCTGCGGTCAATCAGTCATATTCTGCATTTGTTCTGTTACGTTCTACTAATCAAATTTGTGGCGGATACTCTGCAAAATCTATTTTCGACTATCCGGAATGAAAATGCACACTCGGTAAAGAAATGCGATAAAGGAAATTCTTTTACAATTATAATAAAGAAATATATGACAAGATGGAATAATCAGGAGCTCAACGTCAAAAGCAAAAGATTTAATGTAATTTGTTAGAGAAATAGAAATTAGAAAATTTGGGGAAATAATACGAAAACGGTTATTTTAAAATGTCTAATTGATGGACTTTCTCGTTCGTCGGACATTATGACTTTACGAAGTTTAATGTGGAAGTATAAAAAAAAATCGTAAAAGACGAAAGACAGAATATTTAAAACGAAACAAATTTAACTTTGAAATACGAAATTGAGCTTGCTGCAAATTGAACTACTCGTTACCTACTTATTTTCTTCTATCATTGGGCTGTAAAAGTTGACTGTAATCGCAACAGTCGTTACTGTCCAATCCTGTTTCCTGCGCCTCGTCTTTAATCGCGGTCGATGTAGTGGATGGCGGTACTATCACTGGAACGTCGGATTTGCGACTCACCGACAAGTCCTCTACTTGATCATCCAGGTCCTGCTGTTGCTTAACGCCACGTATCACCGGACTCGAGCTGCAACTGGCCATCGAGTCTGACATTGAGTCGCCGCGGTCCTTCGTCTTTGCATACGTGGCTTCGAAAACTGCGGCACTCGTGCCGGCCAAACTCTCAGTGACGTTGACTTTACTCTCGTTCTCATTTTCAGAGAGGGCATTGGCACTGCCGGCACTGTTGTCATAAAGAGCGCCGTTCACGTTGGCGCCGATGCCATACGGGAAACAAGCCCCGCTTCCTCCGTTGCTTGCTGAGCGCTTGAATGGCCGCGATGTAGGGATGCCCAGCTTTTTCACTTTGTCGTAAAGCGTACGTGATGGCACTTGGTATTTTCGCGCTGCCTGAACGGCGCTCATACCTTTTCTCACTGCCTCGATCGCCGAGGTGATGTCATCTCGAGTGTATTGCTTATAACGTTTCCATTCGGGTTTCGGCTGAACGCAGTCCGCAGCAGCTGCGATAAATTAATCAAATTAATATTAATATAACGACCAATGATCGAGCAATTTTTGAATTTACTATAATACAATAGTTTCTATATTTAATAAGACGTAAGTGATACGAACGAATAAATACATTTCGACTCACAGAGCCGAGTTATCCAGGGTGTATTCACATTTTTGACCGTATTAAACTAATAACTTAACGAGACTCTTGCCGTTAAACGAGGAGAGTTAGTCATATAAAAAAAAGTTTAGAAATTGACGTATGAAATTTCACTACTGAACGTGATGTATCAAGAAATTCCCTTACAATCTGAAAGAGAACGAATATAAATAGCAAGATAATTGTATGAACTCTAATATCATGGAATAGCAACAAAAGTTTAAAATTTATATTATTCAAACTGAAGAAGGTTCTGGTGAACAAAAACGTATATATTCATTTTTATCACTTATATCTCATTAAATATGGAAACCTTTTATTACTGTAAATCCAAAAATTGCTCGATTATTGATCGTTATATTAATTTGATTTACTGTGCATATTTTCGAGCGTTATTATACTTAATGGTTTAAAATTAATATTGTTATAATATCTATTTATTTAAAAAATTATCAAAAATATAATATTATCTATAGAATATTAAAACATAATATAAAAAAAACTAAAAGGATATATATATATATTTTTTTTTTGTATTTTTTTAATATTATATTTTATATTATATTTTCTATATATAAAAATATAATTGAATATAAATATTATATAGATCGGATTTTTATAACAGAAAATACAAGCTTGTTCTCGCCCGAAGTCACGATCTCTTCCGTTGTGGCAAATTTTGTAGTAAAAATATGCACATTGTAATAATATAATCTATTATAATAATATTAATATTTTACTAAGGAAGTAGTTTTTCATTTACGTGTGATTATTAAACCTTCGCAAACCAGGTGGATCATACGTGGGTATATCTCATACTATATGCTTGATAAATATATTATAATTTAGTATGATTGGTAACAATGCACTCTCCAGTTGCATGAAACCGGCAACATGCGCGCGTACTTTTTACAAAGTTATAGAAATTCATCTTGCTAGGGTATGTCACACCCCACCTGATTCGCGGAGGGTTAAACTGTGATTCCATGTTTACCTTGTGGTTCCATGTGAATTGTTTTCATGTGATCAGTGGTTCCATGTGAATTGTGTTCATATGACGCAGAGGATAATAAATTCGTCAATTCGTTTATACGTTGTAGACAATATAAAGCCAACAACTTTAAATAATTTGTGCTTGCGTAATATGAAACTCCTGCGATATCTGAGTTACTATTGCTACCTGAGTTCCTTGCAGTATTTGCGTAAGACTGCGGGGACGATTTTCTTTCGTCTTCGTCTGCGTAGGAGGCATCGGCGTAGACCGTCGTTTCACCGTGAGCCAGGTCGTTGTTGCGGCGGTTGTCGCTGTCGTTTGTGGATCCATTGCTGTTTGCGTTGCGGTAGTTGACTGGTTCATGGCTGTCTGGTTGCAAGAGTGGCAGAGCCTGCGAACTGTCAGCGTGAGCCTGGCCAAGTACCGTGCGCAATATCGGCGTGTCGTTACTTATCAGCAGGCCTGACGGAGGCTGCAGTAGCTTCCGGCGTTTGAACGGCGAGGTTTCGATACCGTTGTTGTAGGACCCGCCACTGTTGCCGCTCCCGCCACCTCCGTCAAGAACGGAGGAGAGCGAAGTTGGAAGCTGATGACCCGTGGAATGTAACGACAACGGCCACGAGCCGGTTGGTAATGAACTTGCCAGGTGACTTGAACCGCGATCTTGCGAGTTCCCGTAAAGGGAGTAGTAAGACGGCGGTGACGAGTGGCTGGCGCCGCCGGTGCTGGTACTGGTACTGATATCGGGTGGCGGCGATACCGACGTATCCTCAGGGCGAGGATCGTGCGGCGTATTCGACGTATTCGGCGTATTGCTACCGCGTTCCTCAACCAGGCCTTTTACTTTCAGTACTTGCGCGATCTTCAGCAGTTCGGATAACTGTTCATGCGCCACGTTCACCTCGCCGCGATACATGTACTCCAATATCGCTTTTATCGCCGGAAATCCAACGTCTTTAAGGACGATTATTGGATGGTGATTATAGCCTGACAGTTCGTGAAACAAAGTCTGGAAATACGTCGAGCACGCAGCCAGCACGATCTTGTGACACTTGACCGTCCTGCCGTCATCGACGGCAAGGGTGACATCGGTGAACGCCGCGTTGTGCAGCAACTCCTCGAAGACGTTCAGCAGGTTCGAGCGATGATTGTTCCATCGGAGGCAGTACTGTTGCGAAGCAAACATGATGTCCAAGGGCGTTTATCTATCAGCGTGCAATCTATGGCAAACACGGTCCTATTCAAAGAAACGCTAGACTGCAGCTCGACTGACTCGGTCGAGCGACGAGATCGAAATGTTGTTCACACATGCAATCCCCCCACCCTAACGTTAGAGTTTCCTGCTAGTGACGCATCGTTCATTTGACAAATATCCAAAAAAACTCTCGAAACTAAAGCTATTGAATTTATCTAGTGATAAGGGACTGTGCGAGGGACCAAAGGTCATAATTGCATTCTAATGCATGCACTATTATATAGTTTGTCATTTGCAATGTACAACTTTCTTTTCGCCATTAAAAACTAAATCGACAAAAGTTCCATTTTTATCGATATTCAACAGGAAGTATCAACAATATTTCAAATAAGATTGAAACTGAAACAATTTCGATCTTATTGCAAATAGAAATAATCGAAAATAAGGAAATTGTATAAAATTTACTATTTTTACAAAAAGAAAAGATTTAGCTCACTATCATAAAATTTCTGCATCTCGTAATTTTGTTAAACTAACTATTAAAGAATTTACGAACCTTTCCTTTGTCTTTAACATAATCCATATCCGAAAAAATGTATAAAATAATTAATTTGTATGTTATTTAGAAATACTTATGATAGACGATTTCGCCACATTAAAATAGGTCTACATTTCAAGACGATCACGATCTGTATGATTACAACATATAAAGTTGACCGTTAAATGTCTGCGATAAAGAGATAAAGTACTCCCATTTTTTTTCTTTTATGCCATTCCTTGTTAATCTTTAGTTAAGAATCCAAAAACTCATTGTCGTCCTCCTTGTTTTCGAAAGTAGCAAAGATTACATATCTTAAGGTCCGAATACGATTAGAAACAGAAACGAGCAACACAAATACAGCAACACTATACAAACTAAAAAATGACCACAACGATAAAGATATGATAAGACGATGTCGAGACAGACGTCGCAAAATATTTACATTATGTATCAAAAAGCATTCTATCTTATTCAAAAGTTGTATTTAAATTTTAGTAATGCTATGTATAGAAATTTTTCCAATAATTATGTTTTATATATAAAATATTTACCATAATATAAAAGTTTCTTGTTTCGTTTTAGAATTATATTACCAAAAAATAGTATTAATATTATAATAATACTATAATATTAATACGTACTGTGTAGCATTATATTGAACTGTCGACGATAGCCTGTCGTCAATAAAGGCGGGTATAAAATTGAATATTGCGGATGAAATTGTAATGCGATCCACAAATGCAGTCCCTAAGAATTGCGCGTCAGTTCTTACGAAATTTCGTTATTTTCATACAGTATTCGTTGAAGGTACATACGAGCATCAACTGAACGGTGACATTTGCCTTAAACCATTGTCTGCAGATGCCCGTGGAGACTTTTTTAACCCTTGCCATCGACAAATTCAAAGCAAAAAACTAGTTATCATAAAACTCTCGAGACAAAATAAGCGTAAAAAAAGATTTTCCAATGAATCTACCTGACTGTTACTTTCTCTTAACCCTTTTTTTTAGATGTTACGATAAAAGAACCGAACTACCAGGTTACAAACGCAATAACTAACTTGTATCCCTCGTCAAACTTACTGCCAAAGAGTTAAATATTTTCGTACTTTTGTATAAAATTGATAAAAGCAGCGCTTTTTTATTAAAGATTTTTAGAATGTCACAATTTCTTCTACCTTAACCAATAATGACAGATTTGACATAAATGATGAAAAAAAACGTGTCTTTGTTATTTTTGTTGATTTTACTTTTGCTATTCATACTTTTACTTTATCTCCGTTTCTGCGTAATTCATTTTTGACATTTTAATGTCAAGTATACACAAATATGCAATTTTTACACATCCCATGGGTTCAACATTTTAAATTTATCAGATCTGTCACTTTTCCGCTTCTCTATTTTTCCCTTCCCAAATATATATAATTGCGAGTATAATTGAGATAAAAGAAAATAAAACGATCGATGTTTCGTGGCTCTCTGGGGTGAAATCGCTTCATGAGGGGAAGTTAGTCGATATTTGCATTTCTCGCGTAGGGTGAGTCACGCGTTCTCACCGACTTATTACAGTCGACCCAGTAGGAATTAGGAACAAGCAGATGATAAGAAAGAGATAAGGAAGTCTCGTGAGCTGGGAAATGTTGCATACGTGGAACCGTACGATTATGGCTAATAATGCCAGCAAACTATTTTGACGTTTTAATCTGGTCGACAAATGTAAATTATCCTCGACCGATCTATTCGCCAACTTAAAACTTGCAAAAACAAATGCGCAAGGCGAAAGAGAAATAAAAGAAAAACATTATCCACAAACGTCGGAAAAACAAAAGTCGGATGAGATGATCCAATAACTTCTCACTTTAAGTAGAAAAAAAAACTTTTCGTAGGAACGATAAATATAAGTGCAGCGTAGAGATGTTAAGAGTCTAGAGAAATAAGCAACAGTATTGTTAATGGTAAAGAAACGATAAGGAAAAAATCTTCCGATTACTCTTGTATTTTTTTCTAAACGTCTCAAGGATCTTTATATGTTTTCTTTTTATATATGCGTGTTTTAAATTACGTTAAAAACCCGTTTAAATGCCCCCAGTACACTTTGCACTTAATAAGCAAAAAGCTGATGCGAATTAGTTTCACCTTGCCCCGTGGATCGTTGAAAGCGGAGGAGGAAAAAGTGCGTTGAACTTACTTATAGTGATTTTGGTAGACGCTTCTCTCGCGACGACGAAACGTTGGACGGCGATCTAATAAAAGCAAGCACAAGCCAGAGAGATGCAGGCTGAAGACTAACGTTCCTCTCTTATATCGTGAGTCTCTGGATGGTATCCCGGATATAAGGCGCGAATCATCAAGGAACGACGGGCCAAGGGACTTACGGCCGTTATCAATATATCCCGTACGATCTTTTTTTCCCCTCCCTCTCTCCCCTCTTTTTAATCTCGTCTAGGCGTCTAGTGCAGCGCACAAAATGTGTGCACTTCGGACGCGCTTACGGGGACTCCGGTTACCTCCTCCCTTCTTCGCTCCCTCTCTTTCTCGTGAGCTCCTATCTACTATACCTACGTACATAACGCGTACACGCCTCATGCGCTGGACATGCCGTATCCGGAAGACGCAAGAAAAAAAAGGAAAAAAAAGACACACACACACACAATCGTACACGCACTCCTTACTTCACGCACCCTTATTTCACTCTACCCCGCCTCCCGTTGTTGATTGCACAAACGTGGAGAACCATGCGCGCCCGGAAATATAAGCTCCACGTTCTCCAACACAGGAGAGGCCCGTCCGCGCACCAGGAATCAGAAAACCTCTCTTCCTGCCTGCTCGACGACCACTGACGCTTGCACCATGCCGTTGGCCGTAGAGTTCGGCCTAGCCCGTCACGCGGCGACAGTTATAGGGGTGGTGAAGTGAGTTCATCACGTCTGTGAGTTTCCTCCTTCTTCGTGTGCGCCAGTTTGGGGCACCAATGGCGTAACCTTCGCTAAGGCCACGACCATGGCCCCCGCCCTGACAAGTTTAACGTAATTCTTCTCGCAAGAAGATAAATTAATACTGGCAGCTCAAGAGCCGCACCGGAAGCGTGTGACGAAAATATGGGGAAGTACCATCAACTTGTACCCGTACTTGTACGCGAAAGTTTTTGAAATAGATTTCAGCTTGATGCGAATTCTTAACGTCTTCTTAATCGCGCTTGTATTAGACTCGGGTTTAAAGTTTATGATTAGAAAAAAGTCGAGGGGAAATTCGGACGCGCTTTTAAAACAGTTTGGAACAACTCAGATGTGCTGAGAGAAAGAAAGACAGAGAAAGCGTGGGTGTGTGCAGTTCTATACTATGACATTTTCACATATAAACTATAAAGAGGGATGGTTGCACCGCGCGATGTTATATTTAGGAAACTGCTGCTCGTATACGTTATATCTCAAAACTTTCAACAAGACTAATCGTATTTTGTGGATACTCACATTTTAATTAACACAATTATACAAAAAGAACGATTTTGCTGTAGTATCCAAAACTTTAGCTAAAAATTGAAAATAAATTGAAAATAATTTCGTTGAACCATAAAAATAATTACGTAGGAAATTTAAGCATGACGAGCAATATTTTCGACATTGTAACAACTAATTTAAGCGTCCTATATAATTATATTGATAGTCCAAAAGAATTATTTTCAGATCTGTATCTAGCTAGGTCTTGTAATATTCATCATACTTTGAATCGTTCTAAAACAAGTCCGGATAGAAGTTGACAATATTTTTATTCATATATTTTTTTAAAACGAGTCCAAAAACTACACAGAAAGAAAGTCTGTTTTGCTGACGTATTTAAAAATAATAAATAGCTAAAAATAGAACCTGAAAATAATTTGGCTCGAATAAATTTAACTTGTCAAAATAATTATGCAGGATGCTCAAATTGATTTTAGAATATTAAAATGTTTCACAGCAATGCTTAAGCATTCTACATAATTATTTTGACGACCCAACAAAATTATTTTTAGATCTGTACCTGGTTAAATTTTTTGATATTTTAGCAAAATCGTTTTTCCCTCGTACTTTCTCGATATTAAAGTTCTTTAAAAATAAGAAGCATAAATATGTATCGTATCTGTATGTCTGTATGTCAATTTTGATCATCGCAACGTATTAAAACAATAGATCGTAATTACGAACAAATTAATTCAATCGTTTACATAAATAACCGTTGTAATAACCAACAATTTTGTTAATTAAATTAATAATGAAACGGAACCGTTCCCAGTAAGATTAGCGTAATTTAAAAAAAATCACACAGTTACAAACTGATAAAAACTAACGAACGAGCAAAGCGTTAATGTCGACGTTGTAATTAAAGCGATTCCAATTTTCGGCTTGTTACCGAATCCGATTATTTCGATGTCGCAATGTTATTCATGGGAACGCGCGGCGCGCGATCAAGCACGC